ACACTTCACTTATTTTAAAATTCCACATTACCTCAGCCCTGCATGTAACTCCTTCGCACATTCTCCAACTTTTACTCCAAATTCCCATCAACCAAGCCATTCACATCCAGGTTCAAATCGCAAATCTGGTTGCGAATCTTATCTTCCTTCACATCCGTTTGCCTGCGAAGAAACTCATCCGGGGTGGCAGCCGGGTCGAGATCCCAACAGCCCTCCGGCAATTTCGTCTTTTCAACTTCAAGTGGAAAAGACGGCACTTGGTGCGAAAAACGCAACATCTCCCGTCTCGGTACCCACCAAGCGGCACTCTCATCCCCATTCCTCTGGTAAACCGTCTTGTACCCTTCCAGCTTTATCACGGGCCTCACCCACACACCGTTTTCCTCCGAATACTCATCAAGAACCTCCACAATCTCATACTGGTGCCTCAGGTCAACTGGTGTCGACCTGTCCCAATCAGGAGACCAGTTTTTATAAACCGCCCAAATATCCCCTTTTCTTGGGTATATCCTAACGCACCCTCCTCGCCCAGCTTTCTCACGGCTCAAAAGGTGAGAAAATATGTTGACCTGCTCGACGGTCTCCGAGTGGAACACCCTGAAATTCCCGCACGATTTGGTGAAACCGCAGTCCAGCCAGTTTACTGGCCCGAACTCAGTGTCGGACCTTGAGCTCAGGTAGCTTATAAAAATCTTGAACGGGCTTAACGAGATGACATCACGGATTAGACAGTATAGACGAGGCATGCCGTCCTCTTCATCATAGATGGCCCATATCTGCTTGGGCTTGAAGCATTCTTCAGACCTGTCCTTGTCAAAATCGCGGAAGTCTGAATCGGGAACTGTGATCGACATGTCAGCATTTCTTTTGACTTCCGGTTGTAGTTTGGCACCAGCATTTGATTTACTATCTTCAATCGCAAGTGCTTTTTTCCTCTCAGCCTCCTCAGCTTCCCGCATCATCTCTTCAAGTTCCAAGCGGATAACAGATCTGCCTTTCGCAATCAACAGCTGCCGGATATCGACCACACGGGCAGCTGTGGCGCGTCTCGCCTGATTCTCGGACTTTAGTGCTGTGCTCCCATTGGCTGCTGCTTTCAGCTCCACTGCGTTGTTATTCGGGACAATCAATTCGGGTCCGACGGTGAACGAGCCTCCAGGCTCTGATTTTATCTTCTTGGCGGGCCGTCCGCGCTTTGGCCGTGGTATTTCGCCCTGGCTGGCGCTTGCATCAATCGTAACATTAACCTTCTGAAGTTTTCCATTGGATATGGATTTGCTTCCGTCCATGTTGGCTTGATAAAAGGAGAAAGATGACGAGGACAGTCCATTAGCATCCGCAATCCCAGAGGGATTTTGTGACAGGTTACCCTGAAACGATATATTCGAGATGTACTCGTTTCTGTACCCGGTTTGATGCCCGGAAGCCGCATTGTGTCCACAGTGGCCCGCAGCAGTTGACATATAAGTAAACCCACAACCATGATCTCCATAGCCATTCTCAGGAGCATACGAGTAATTTCCGTATGGGAAAACGCCATCGTGTGGACTCAGCCCAGTTTCCACAGCAACAAACACACCACGACAGTTTTTACAAGAGAGCCGCTTGTTCACGTATTTCCGGAGGTACTCGTACTGAACGTGACAAGACGTGCACACGGTCCAGAATGTATCCAGTCTCCCATGGGAAGATGAAAGCAGATTCCTTCTCTGATCATAAGAGCCCCTCCTGGTGTTATCGGACAGGAGGGTCCACGCGTCGGAGACGAGCCGGAGGGCCCCATCGGCACCAACAGTCTTGTTCTTGTCGGGGTGGAGCAGCACGGCCAGCTTCTTGTACTGTCTCTTTATCTTGGACCGGTCCACGGACGGGTCCAGCCCTAGGATAGAGTAGAAATCGGGCTCGCCGTTGATTTTGGCCTCGGACGCCACGTAGACTCCGAATGTGGCCACCATCTGGGATACGCCCTCAAGTGCAGGGTAGAGCATCTGGGCTTTAAGAGCGAAATTTTGGGCTCCTGCAAAGTTTTTCTGCATGAACTGCTGCTCGGCATATGCTTTGGCCCTAACCGCTTCCTCTATGTTGGACTTGGATCCCATCTCGCCTTTTCTTTTCTTCTCTCTTGATTTTTTTAATATATATTTTGAATTCTGAACGGAAAGGACACGAAATACTAAAATTTTCAAGAAAAGCTTAAAAGCAGAATATGATAGTTGGCGACAATCAAAATCCCACGCCAGACATAGCCACTGGTGCTCGGCTGCAGGAGAAAACCAAATCATAGAACTTTATGCATTTCCTCTGTGGATTAGGGAAACAACAATAGTAGCAGCAATCAGCAAACGACTCAAGCGTAGATAAAAAAAAAAATTCCCTACAGCTAAAAACAAAAACTTCCATAATCAATTCAAACTCTTGAATGTTGCTCATTCAGTTTCATACCAATTAGATTCTTCTCAAGTTCCAAAAAATAATAACAAGAAAACAAAATCTACACTAGTACAGCACATCAACTTCCTCAAACCAGAGGCAGGCACCACTCTAAGGTAGTAGGCATGCATCATTTTCACAACACTTACCAGTCCAAGAATCCTCAACCCTAGTCAACCATTTTCAAGCTAAATTCAAACTACATTACAAACAAACTGATCACCCAGATTTCAGCATGAGGTCCCAAATCGACCAACGATTTAGCTAAAAATAGCTCAAAAACCACTGGACAAGCGGTAAAAATTTACAAGATTAACTAACTTGAAAAGGAAAAAAGTAAATTAACCAACTCAACGAGATCCAGAAATAATTCACTCTCAGATTTGCAACAAAATATCCTGATCTTTATAAGTCAGCATCAGATCTACACAAACGGTGGTGAAGGGAAAGCAAATCTATCAACCTAAATCGAATAATACCATCGGCAAATTATCAAAAATAAAGCACAAGCCGGTGAAAAAGGAAAGCTTACTTGTTAAGTATGAAGCAGGTATGACACGAAAATCGCCCGGGGATATTCCGGCGGCCGGCGGCGGAAGATTCCTTCAGAAATCGGAGTACCCAAAATAAATTAATAAAAATAAAAAATAGAAAATTATACTGTGCAGAGATTATTTAGAGTAGAAGTACAACTACAAACTACGCAGCAGTTAAAAAAAAAAAAATTAAGATAAATATGTATATATAAAATTTAATTAAATTGAATTAATAAACTATGTAATATTTAATTTGGTGATATTGATTATCAATTGTCATTTATTAATAAATATTATATTATGGAGTGAGAGTAACAGTTATTATTATTAGTGTTTTATATTTTATTGGCATTGGCCTGAGCCCCAAATTGTGTTGGAAAAAGGGTTAATAATTTTAATATTGCTTGTGTATTTTTACTTGGAAAATTGTTATGAATTCAAATATTAGGAGTAAATTAAAAATTACTTGTATGACTTATAAATATTTTTGTAATATGTGATATGATAATTAAGAAATCGAGATAATAATAATAATAATAACTATAATAATTATTATTATAATAAAAAAATAATAAAACAATAATATTATAATAATAATAATAAATAATAATTATTTATTATTATTATTTATTATTATTATTATTATTATTATTATTACTTATGGCAATAATGATGGCAGTTCTTTTAACTTGCAATTAAATAAAATAATATGTTAATATTAAAATCGATAAAGTAAAAGTGCTTCGAGAGCTTTTTCCTTTCCAAAATAAAGAGAGAAGATTTAATTAATGAAAAGCAATTTTTTTTTTATTGTTTCCTTTTCAATATATATATATAATATATATATATATATTGTATAAATATTAGGAGGATTTTTCACTTTGCTACTTGGCTGTGAAGTGAAGGAAGCTTTGGCTGCCATAATTTGGAAGTTTTAATTATGGGCCTAACCGCATATTATTATCTGGTTGATATATAGTTTTTTTTTTTTTTTTTT